TCTCTACTTAAAATCTTGGTTGTAACAGAGAATGACACACCTCAATATTAATGTACAATTCTCATTAAATGGAGTATTTTGGAAATCAGTGTTTATGAAATGTAGCATTCACAATAATGGGAAACCAATGTTTCAAATAAGGAAACATACTTAGGGAAGGAAGGAAAAGATGGGTAATTTTCCAAAGTAGTTAACCAAAAATTGAGCTAAGGCATCATTCTTGTGTGGAAGACTTAGTTCAATAGGCTACGATGTTCAAAATAGAGCATAACTTTAATATCAACATATGCCAAATTGGTTTGTCTTTTAGGCAAAAATTATTTTAAATTTATCAAACCACTCCAAGATTTTAAGTCTCATTTTAACAATAACAAAAAGCATAGTTTCTTTTTTATTTTTGATGATATTTACATATGATCAGGGTGGAAAGGATTGAGAGGGCTGGGGGAAAGTGGATGAGAAAGTTTTCAAATTTTCTTTTTCTTCTGGTATTTATGGTAAGTGGAGGGGGGAAAGAAGGGAAGAGCCACACCCAGCCTCAGCTGCCCCAGTATGCAGGGACGGAGAGAGATGGGGAAAGGCCACCAGATATTAGCCCAGGGTCTTTGATGTGGATATGTCCTGAGGGTTTTGCTGCAGTAGTTTAAATTGTTCTGAAATGCTGTCAATCTCGCTGATCCAAGGATGAGGAATCTTCTGAGAACTGACAATCTATTTTTACTCTCAGCTTCTGTTTTGAAAGAGTGTTTTCTGTCTTTGTCCCCAAAGTCTGGGCTTGTCCTGTGGTGAAGCATGATGAAGCCCTCAGGCTTGTAAATTTACAAACCAGAAAATAGTTTGGCACTATTAATAGTCTCAGGTGACCTCAAATTGGAGAACTTTTTTTTTTTAAAAAAAAAAAAAGATTTGTTATTTCTATTGCAAAGTCAAATATATATAGAGAGGAGGAGAGGTAGAGAGGAAGACCCTCTGTCCATTGATTCACTACCCAAGTGACTGCAATGGCCGGAGCTGCGCTGATCTGAAGCCAGGAGCCAGGAGCTCTTCTGGGTCTCCCACGTGGGTGCAGGGTTCCAAGGCCTTGGGCCATCCTCATCTGCTTTCCCAGGCCACAGGGAGGGAACAGGACGGGAAGTGGTGCTGCAAGGATTAGAACTGGTGCCCATATGGGATTCTGGTGTGTTCAAGGCGAGGACTTCAGCTGCCGGGCCCAACATTTCTAAAAGACTGTTTAACTTGTAAGAGTAACAGACTGAAGGAGAGGCAGATGGAGACTCTTCTTCCATGCTGGTTCATTTCCCATATGGCTGCAATAGGCAGAACTGGGTTGGTCCAAAGCCGGGAGCCAGGAGCTTCTGGGTGTCCTGTGTGGATGCAGGTGCCCAAGGTCTTAGGCCATCCTCTTGCTTTCCCCACCCCCACTGCCCCGGCAATTAGAGTGGAGCTGGAGCAGAAGCAGTGCTGCTTCGACATAAACCAGCTTCATAGGCTGAAGTTTAGCTTGATATGTCATCTAGCTGGCCCCAAATTTAAGACAACTTTTAAGATTTATTTTTTATTATTTTTTCATTGGAAAGGCGGATATACAGAGAGGAGAGACAGAGAGGAAGATCTTCCGTCCGATGATTCACTCCCCAAGTGAGCGCAACGGCCGATACTATGCCGATCCGAAGCCAGGAGCCTCTTCCGGGTCTCCCGCGCGGGCGCAGGTTCCCAAAGCTTTGGGCCGTCCCCGACTGCTTTCCCAGGCCACAGGCAGGGAGCTGGAAGGGAAGCGGGGCTGCCGGGATTAGAACCGGCGCCCATATGGGATCCCGGGCGTGCGAGGCGAGGACCTTTAACCACTTGCGCCACCGCGCCGGGCCCTTAAGACAACTTTTAAAAGTAGTGTATATTTCTTTTAAAAAATATATTTATTTATTAATTACAAAGTCAGATATACAGAGAGGAGAGAGAGGAAGGTCTTCCGTCCGATGATTCACTCCCCAAGTGAGCGCAACGGTCGATACTATGCCGATCCGAAGCCAGGAGCCTCTTCCAGGTCTCCCACGTGGGTGCAGGGTCCCAAAGCTTTGGGCCGTCCTCGACTGCTTTCCCAGGCCACAGGCAGGGAGCTGGAAGGGAAGCGGGGCTGCCGGGATTACAACTGGCGCCCATATGGGATCCTGGGGCGTGCAAGGCGAGGACCTTAACCACTGCACCACCACGCTGGGCCCAATCCTTTTTTTTAAAAAAAATATTTAGTTACTCTTATTGGAAATGTGGATATACAGAGAGGAGGAGAGACAGAGAGGAAGGTCTTCCATTGGATGGTTCACTCCCCAAGTGACCGCAATGGCTGGAGCTGAGCCAATCCGAAGCCAGGAGCCACGAGCTCCTCTGGGTTTCCCATGCAGGTGCAGGGTCCCAAGGGCTTGGGCCATCCTCAACTGCCCTCCCAGGCTACAAGCAGGGAGCTGGATGGGAAGTGGGGCCGCCAGGATTAGAACCAGCACCCACATGGGATCCCAGCGCGTGCAAGGCAAGGACCTTAACCACCGCGCCATCGCGCCTGGCCCAGTATACTTCTACTTTTACTTGCGTAACAGTAGTGAATGAAATGTCTTTCTGTTGTAACTCATTTTTAGTTTCTCACAAGCTGGAAGTTTTTTAATGCGCTGCTTAGTCTAGATAACTGTTTGCAGTAGTTTTGATAGTATTGTATTTAAAGATGGATTTTGAAATAAAAACTCAGTCTTCCCTTGGGCCTCTGGACTCCATTAATCAGTATAAGAAGGTTGGGTGGCATTTTTTGTCTTCTAGGCTCTGGAGCGTTTCTGGGAGAGCTGGCTTATCCAGGTTTAGAAAAAGTATGGTTTGAACTGAACTGTTTCTAAAGTTTGTGTAACCATTACGTTTCAGAAATCTCAACTTGAAATGTGTTTGAATACAGAGAAGATACTGCTTCATTTAGGGGGAATAGTAGCTATTGAAGCAGTAAAATTAGTATTGCCTAAGTAGTTTTCAAAAAGCGTTATGGGGCCCCGCGTGGCCTAGCTGATTAAGTCCTCGCCTTGAACGCCCCGGGATCCCACATGGGTGCCAGTTCTAACCCCGGCAGCTCCACTTCCCATCTAGCTCCCTGCTTGTGGCCTGGGAAAGCAGCAGAGGACGGCCCAAGGCCTTGGGACCCTGCACCCGTGTGGGAGACCTGGAAGAAGTTCCTGGCTCCTGGCTTCGGATCGGCATAGCATCGGCTGTTGCGCTCACTTGGACAGAAGATCTTCCTCTGTCTCTCCTCCTCTCTGTATATCTGACTTTCCAATAAATAAATAAATCTTAAAAAAAACCAAAAACACAAATGGATACTAGGGCCTGGCATGGTGGCGCAAGTGGTTAAGGTCCTCGCCTTGCACGCCCAGGATCCCATATGGGCGCCAGTTGTAATCCCGGCAGCCCCGCTTCCCATCCAGCTCCCTGCCTGTGGCCCGGGAAAGCAGTCGAGGATGGCCCAAAGCTTTGGGACTCTGCACCCGCGTGGGAGACCTGGAAGAGGCTCCTGGCTTCGGATCGGCATAGCATCGGCCGTTGAGCTCACTTGGGGAGTGAATCATCGGATGGAAGATCTTCCTCTCTGTCTCTCCTCTCTGTATATCCGCCGTTCCAATAAAATACATAAATACTTAAATAAATAAATAAAATAAATCTTTAAAAAAACACAAATGGACTACTAATAAAGTATGGTTTGTCTTATTGCTGATGTAAAGCTTTCATGAAATGATTATTTGACTCCTGTAATAAATCATGAGTTTGGGCTCCTTATGCTTTACAAAAAGCACTAAGTCTAGTGTTTAGTTGATAGATACTAGATACAAGAAGAATTATAAAACTCCACATGAATAAAAGTGTTTTTTTATCTCTTCTCAGCCTTTTGGCCAAGATCAAGTGTAAAGCGATGTTTTTATTGTTAAGGTAGAAATCCCAGAGACACATAATTTCATACTTTGCACACAAGGTATCTTTCCAATTTACTTTAAATACTTGAAAAAGATATTTGATGATATTGGAATTATTGAGTATGGTTATTTCAAAGTTAATTTTGAATATTCAGGGTAAGCTGCAAAATATTTTTGAATATACTTATATGCCAAAAGAAAGTTAACTTTTAGAAATATGCTAGTCACTTATCTACCCAGGCATGCATGCATGCAAGTCAGCTTTGGGATTTGTGCAGTGGCTCATCAGGTTAATCCTCAATCTGTAAGCACTGGCATCTTATATAAGTACCGGTTTGTATCCCGGCTGCACCACTTCCCATACAGATTCCTGGTTATAGCCTGGGAAAGCAGTAAAGGATGGCCTAAGTCATCCTTTGTGACTCTGCACTCATGTGGGAGACACAGAAGAAGCTCCTGGCTCCTGGCTTCAAAGACTCTTGGCTGTGGCCATTGTGGCCATTTATGGGGTGAGCCAGTGGATCAGAGAGAGAGAGGAGAAATACAAAAATCTCCCACTCACTAGTTCATTCCCTAAATGGCCGTAATTATGAGTGCTGGGCCAGGTGTAAGCCAGGACCCAAGAGCTTTGTCCAGGTCTCCCATCTACGTGGCAGGACCCATACACCCTGGCCATATTCTGCTCCTTTCCAATGTCATTTATCAGGGAGCTGGAGTAGAAGTGGGGAAGCCAGGACTCAAACTCAGTGCTCATGTGGAATGTTGGCATTGCAGGCGGCATCTTGACGTTAGTCTCATTTCTAATTTTTAAAAAACAAATTTGAAAATCAAAATGACACACATGGACAATGGAGTGGGAGACCATCCACTTGCAGGTTCACCACCCAGATGCCCACAGCAGCCAGGGCTGGGCCTGACTGAAGCCAGGAAGCCAGGAAGTCTGGAACTGCCATATGGGTGGCAGGGACCCAAATTCTTTAGCCATCACGTGCAGGTGCATTAGTGGAAAGCTGGGCCTCGCAAATCATTTATATACATGTTTCAAGAAAAACAAATACCACTTACTTCAAAATGAACTATTTAATGCAATATTAAACCAGAGACACCAAATTGAAGGAGGAACACACTGCTGTATTGGATATGCAGTCATTACCACAAATAGCATTGATACATATCCTATGCAATGATCATACACATGTTCATTTCTCAGTCATTGTCAGAACCATTTGGAGGTAAGAAAACCAAGGCGTCATTGAAAATATGCCCAAATGCCCTAAGACGGTATACACCATACATCATCACATGCATTTGATTGGGTGTCAGTCCATTAAAAGTAACAGCTGTATCTGAACAACATCCTTCTACTACTTGGTTAGGATGATTATTCATTGCCTCTTTAATAAAAAGGCCAACAGACTTGGTATTAAATACATCTTTTCCACCAGCATCTTCTGCATTTTCTGCAACCACTCCAGCATTGTTCAGGCACATTGCTAACTGCCTGTCTTCCGATATCTTCCAAATCATCCCACCCTGTTCAGGACACTTATCAGGAATTTCTAGAAGGCTGTTAAGTCTTTTCATTGATTCTATACTCAAGACAATTCCTCCTTCCACACTGACATATTCAAAGTCCCCAGATTTAATAGCATGGCCTAGATAAAAAGGCTGTGATGGATCCTTTTTTAACAAAAAATATTTAAGGTTTTCAATAATAGCAAATGTAGTGGGGCGTGCAAGGAAAAACCAGTTGTATTGGTTGCTGTATTTATCAAAGGCATATTTATAAGCTCTTCTCATCATTAACCACAAGTCATCTGTTTCCACATTAATTGATTCAAATACTTTAACGTTTTCAGAACTAAAGAACTCTGCTTTGTCACAATGTTTGGTCCAAGTCTCTTTCACTGCAGCCCAAAGACTAACATCTTTGGGTTTTACAAGGATGATACAGTATACCCGAAAGTTTTTACTGAGTTCCATGCGTTCATTCTCTGAAATTTTCAAGATATCTTCTTTGTTAGGAGGTTGGAGATGATGATGCTCATGGTGGTGCATTCTGTTTCCAAGGCCAATTCCAACGTGTCCCAGCATAGTGGTAAAAACACAGAAGATGCTTCCGAGCATCACGCCCTTCAAAAATGAGCTGCTTTCAGAAAGCATTTTTTCCTAAAAAGAAGAAAAAGAATCTTAATATAAATAATAGGAAAAGATTAGATTTTGATTTGGTATTCCTTATATGTCTTATTAATATTACAAAAGAGTTCCCAAGGGCCTGGCGCCATTGCCTAGCAGCTAAAGTCTTTGCCTTGCATGTGGCAGGATCCAATATAGATGCCGGTTCTAATCCCAGCAGCCTCACTTCCCATCCAGCTCCCTGCTTGTAGCCTGGGAAAGCAGTTGATGATGGCCCAAAGTCTGCACCCGCGTGAGCGACCGGGAAGAGCTCCTGGCTTCGGACTGGCTCAATTCCAGCCTTGTAGCCACTTGGGGAGTGATTCAACAGACAGATCTTCCTCTCTGCACATCTGACTTTGCAGTAAAAATAAATCTTTTTTTAAAAAAAAGTTCCTGAGCATGAAGTCAGGTTTGTTGCACATAGTTTGAGAGACTCTAAGGTTCTTTACTTCCAATGGCATATGTTCAGTATAAACTGAAACCATTTCATTTATGAGGATTTAAGCAACGAAGTACTAAAGAAACACATTAATTCTAGAAACCAATGTTCTATAGACTGTTTATATTGAATTCTATTTTTTAAAAAAATTATTTTTATTGGAAAGGTAGATTTACAGGGGAGAGCAGAGATCTCCCATCCGCTGGTTCTTTCCCCAAATGGCTGCAATGGTCAGAGTTGGGCTGATCCAAACTTCAGGAGCTTCTTCTGAATCTTCCATGTGTGCATAGGCTCCCAAGGACTTCAGCCATCCTCTGCTGCTTTCCCAAGCCATAAGCAGGACTCTGCATGGTAAGTGGAACAGCCAGGACATAAACCCTTGTTCATATTGGATCCTGGCACTTGCAAGGGCAATATTAGCCAGTCAAGCCATCGTGGTGGGCCCTCATCCCTAGTTCTTACTCAAGAATTTTAATATATGGGCCCGGCGCGGTAGCCTAGCAGCTAGAATCCTTGCCTTGCACGCACCAGAATCCTATATGGGCAGTGGTTTGTGTCCTTGCAGCCCCGCTTCGCATCTAGCTCCCTGCTTGAGGCCTGAGAAAGCAACTGAGCACGGCCCCAGGCCTTGGGTCCCTGCACTCATGTGGGAGACCTGGAAGAAGCTCCTGGCTCCTTACTGGCTGAGCATCAGCCGTTGTGTTCACTTGGGGAGTGAATCATCAGATGGAAGAGCTTCCTCTCTGTCTCTCCTCCTCTCTGTATATCTGACTTTCCAACAAAAATAAAGTAAATCTTAAAAATATATGTTTAGGGCCTGGAGGCGTGGCCTAGCGGCTAAAGTCCTCGCCTTGAACAGCCCGGGATCCCATATGGTTGCTGGTTCTAATCCTGGCAGCTCCACTTCCCATCCAGCTCCCTGCTTGTGGCCTGGGAAAGCAGCCGAGGACCCTGCACCCACGTGGGAGACCTGGAAGAAGTTCCTGGATCCTGGCTTTGGATCAGCATAGCATCGGCCGTTGCGCTCACTTAGGGAGTGAATCATCAGATGGAAGATCTTCTTCTCTGACTTTCCTCCTCTCTGTATCTCTGACTTTCCAATAAACAAATAAATCTTTAAAAATATATACATATGTTTAATAAACAATATTCTAAAACTGGCAAATCACCAAGGGCATCTATGTTGACAGCTGCTGCCCTGGGTATTTGAGGTATATCTGAACAAAGTTTGAGATTAATATCATGTTTGTATTCACCGTTTTGATTGATACTCTATTCATGATTATGATTTGCTCCTAAATTGTTTAGGATATAGTATCCCAAGTTTTGACATAATAAAAGTCCAAATGAAAGTAATTATTTGAATGGAAAGTGAGTTGATGAAGGCATACCTGGGAATACTAATGAATATATTCCTCCAAATGTACTTTTGGGGTGGGGGGAAGCGCAAAGGTAAAAGTAAACACTTTTTATTTTAATGATAAGCTAAAAGAAAAGCCAATGTTAAATTCAACCGTTGAAAAAACTGTATGCTACCCACTTACACTGGGAAAGGCGGACATTGCCACACTCTCCGATACACACAAATGTCTACCACGCCGTCCAGGTTTCCTGTCTCTTTAACGGTGAAAGCGGCTTTCAAATCTCACCATTGTAAATTCTCTCATTTTACAAATCAGGAAAAGGAATTAGTGAGATGTGGAAGTGAACCAGAGACCAGATCTCTCGACAGCAAGTGGAATGCTTTTTCCATGACTGAACAGTACCCTCCATGGTACCTCTACCATATTATACTTTTTGAGAGTTAATAAATGTGTTTATCGAATAACCCTGGCTTCCTACAAACCAAAAAACAAACAAAAAACGTAGGATATGTTGGCTGAAATTGACATTTTATACCCAACATCTTCCTTTTGTCCAAGAGAAAATGGATATAGACTTCTACCAGAATAATAAGGAGTGGAATCAATTGGCAAATATAATTCCTGAAGCGGGGGGCGGTGGAGAAAGAGGCATGATATTTTTCCAGTGTCATTCACAGAACTCTATAAATACAGCCCCAAGAAGAAAGAGAGCAGTGACAAGAAACAATTTAATATTACACTGTAAAATGCATTTGTATAGGCATTTTGACATTTTATATTACAATGATTATCTCTGGCCGATATGTAAGTCACAGGTCTTTCCACCTGATTACAAGATATGTACATGGAGAATTTCTCCTGATGGCAATACTGCTGCTGTCTGAGAAAAACTGACTGGAACTCAGTTTATAAAATTATCCCAAGGAGATATTTACCCCCCCATCCGGGATATACATATTTTGTGCAGAGGAGAGGAGAAACAAAACTGGACACGGAAGGGAAAAATGTACAGGGGCACAGAAACGAAACTACTCAAATGTTTGTTGACATTAAACGTTTCTAGAAGGTTAAGGTGGTTGGGGTGAAGTATGCAAAAAGGAGGAGCAAATGGAGAAGACAGGTGAGATGGAGAATCGCCTCAGTACCTCATTGAGAAGCCCTAGGGAGCGCCTCCCGGGTCACTAATCCTCCCCCTGCACCTGCCCGGACATTCAGAGTGGAGCATGTCGGAACTGGGCTAGGGCCCAACTTTCTCACCCGGAGAAGACAAGTTGGACCGCTCGGGGTGCGCTTGGGGCGGGCGGCTAAGGCCCAGCACTCACCCGCATCTAGAATGGTTCGACAGCACGAAGGTGCAGCCGCAGACGGCTTTCCTTCCACGTTTGCTCGCCACTCGGTTACGTTCCTTGTCGAGCTATTCTAGATGCAGGTGGTGTCCTCTCGTTGGTCTCGCTCAAGCTGGGGGAGGGCCAGGAGGCCGACGCCGAAAAGGGGGCGTTGCGAGGGCGGGGTTTGGGGGGTGGGGGAACCGTCGTCGGGCGTCAGTCCGTTGGTCGCGTTGACGTCACGACGGCCCGCGCGCCCGCGCGCACGCAGCGCGCTTTTAGCTCCGCCCCTCGTGAGTTCAGAGGAACGCGACGGGCTGGCGTGACCGGCACGCTGGCCTGCCGCGGCTGGGACGCACAAAGAGGTAGGCGTGCCTATGTCTCGCTGACACCTCCCACCTCTCTAGCTTGCTAGTGGGGAGACTTCAGAGCAAGGATTTTCGCTCTCTGTGTTGCTTATGCCAGAGTTCTGGTTTGCCTGTGCGTCTTGGCGTGCACCTAGGGACGAGCGGTGTTGCTGGGTCGAAGCCACTGAAAGAATCTTTGAATTATGTGGGGACGGATATTCTGAGGTTACTGGGATGGGATCTAGTAAACTCCCACCGCTCGTTTTCCAATCCCGGGAAAGTTACTTCACCTTTGCATGCCTCAGTTCTTTGCTTTGGAAGGTATAGTGTCTGTCATTTAGGCGATTCAGATCGTCCACGTACCTCCCTCACAGAGAAATGTCAAGCACAGAATGAGCGCTTATTAGATCTTGGCTGTTACTATTCACCTTTCTATCTGGCTTTTAACGTAGGAGCAGCTCACCATAGACAGTCAGTATTAATTAAACTAATGTTAGAGCCACACATGTGAAACCAAGCCGAAATAAGATAATGAAACTTTGAAAAACCACACAATAAGTTAAAAGCGGAGGTAGGTTTAGAGTCCAGGTCTCCTGATCATGACTGCAGAGGTCTTTTTCCACTAAATATATGATGTTGTAAATTTTGTTTTTGTGGCAGTTTGAATTTTTGCTAACACAACTTTTTAAAAACTCTTTACTAGGTACCATCATTAGATCCCATTAAAATAACATTTAGTGGTCACTTATAAGCCTGAAGACTGATTTTTCAGAATTGGCAGTGACTTGCAGTTTAAGAGGACAAAAAGTTTCTGTGAGCCCTGAAGAAACAGATTTTAGGCAGTTGCTATCCTACAAACACTACTCCACATTCTAGGGGCATAACTATGAAGAACGGAAGTCTCCTGGATCCCTGCTGCTTTCAGACTGGAACAGGAGGAAGACATGAAACAATTCATTACAAATCATTGTAATGGTGATGGGTCCTCAATAGGGATCCCCAGTTAGAATGTGTCCCTAAAGTGGACAGAAATGTAAAACTACAGAATGTGTCTATTATGCTTTTATTTTTCTATGAAGATTTAGTTGTTTGAAAACCAGAATGACAGAGGTGCGGAGAGGAGAGAAAAAGAGACAGACAGAGACATTCTGTCCTCTGATTCACTCTCCAAGGGGCCACAATGTGCAGGGTTGGCCAGTAAAGGCTCAGAGCCTAGAACTGCATGCAGGACTCCCACAGGGGGTCAGAGGCCCGAGCATTTGGGCAACTTCTGCTGCTTTCCCAGGCGCATGAACAGGGAGCTGGATAGACAGTGGAGTTGATGGGATTCACTGGAACCAGCACTCTGTGATGCATGTTGATATGAATGTTGACATTGCAAAGTGATGGTGTAATGGGCCACACTACAATGGTCAGTATTTACTAAATACTGTTTATTGTCTATATGAATACATGTACATATATAAGTGAAACAAATTACAAAATAATACACATGAGTAAGTTTTAGTGAAAACAAATGCTTTTTTAAAAAAAGATTTATTTATTTTTATTGGAAACTCAGATTTACAGAGAGGAGGAGAGGCAGAGAGGAAGATCTTCTGCATGTTGATTCACTCCCCAAGTGGCCACAAGGCTGGACCTGAGCTAATCCGAAGCCAGGAGCCAGGAGCTTCTTCCAGGTCTCCCACGTGGGTGCAGGGTCCCAAGGCTTTGAGCCATCCTTGACTGCTTTCTTAAGCCACAAGCAGGGAGCTGGATGGGAAGCAGGGCCACTGGGATTAGAACCAGCACCCATATGGGATCCTGGCACGTGCAAGGTGAAGACTTTAACCACTACAATATTACGCTGGGCCCATAATACAGCCTTTTATTGCATTGTCTCACAGGTTACAATAAGCATTTATTATTTTTGATTTGGAAGAAGAGCCAGTTAAAGGGTCTTTATTATTAGAGGAACAAAAAGGTGAAAAGGCAAATAAAATGCATTTATAGAATGAAGATAACCAGTCTCTTCTTTTAAAAAAGAACCAAGGAAAGAGATAAAAATGGTGCTCAGAATTTAGAGACAGTGAACAAGAGACCATGTAAGAAGTTCGTTGTGGGCCTGGCATGGTGGCCTAGCAGCTTAAGTCCTCACCTTGCAAGTGCTGGGATCCCATATGGGTGCTGCTTCGAGTTCTGGCAGCCCCACCTCCCATCCAGCTCCCTGCTTGTGGCCTGGGAAAGCAGTAAGAATGGCCCAAAGCCTTGGGACCCTGCACCCACATGGGAGACCTGAAAGAGGCTCCAGGCTCCTGGCTCTGGATCGGTGCAGCTCCAGCCGTTGCACTCACTTTGGGAGTAAATCAGCAGACGGAAGATCTTTCTGTCTCTCAACCTCTCTGTATATATGCCTTTCCAATAAGAATAAATAAGTCTTTAAAAAATGAGTAATTGGGGTGGGCATTTAGTATAGTGGTTAAGATGCTCCTTGGGACCATCCCTGCCCTGCCTCCACTTCTCATCACAGTGGGTGATGATTCAAGTACTTGGATACCTGCCAAATACATGTGAGACCTAGACTGAATTCCCAGCTTCTAGCTTTGGGCTGCCCCAGGCCCAGCTGATACAGGCCTTTGAGAGGCAAACTAATGCAAGATCTCTGCCTCTCTTTGTGTCTTTGAAGTAAATAATCTAAAAGGGCAGTTATAGGGGGCTCATGCCATGGTATAGTGGACTAAGCCTCCACCTGCAGCACTGGCATCCCATGTGAACACTGATTGGAGTCTTTGCTACTTTACTTCCAATCTGGCTCCCTCTCATCTGCTGAGAGGGCAGCAGAGAACAACAAAGTGCTTGGGCCCATACAACTGCATGGGAGACCTGGAGGAGGCTCCTGGCTTCAGACTGTCCCATCCTGTCTGGACTTTGTGATCATTTCGGGAATGAACCAGCAGGTGGGAGATCTCTGTCTCTGTCCTCTCTAACTCTGCCTTTCAAATAAATAATAATTTTTAAAAATCCTGGTTGAGCCCGGCACAGTAGCATAATGGCTAACATCCTCTTCTTACATGCACTAGGATCCCATACGGATACCAGTTCTAATCCTGGCAGCCCCACTTCCCATCCAACTCCCTGCTTGTGGCCTGGGAAAGCAATAGAAGATGGCCCAAAGCCTTGGGATCCTGCACCCACATGGGAGACCTAGAAGAAGCTCCTGGCTCCTGGCTTCAGACCGGCTTAGCTCTAGCTGTTGTGACCACTTGAGGAGTGAAGCAGAAGATGAAAGATCTTTGTCTCTCTCCTCCTCTCTGTCAATCTGACTTTGCAATAAAAATAAATAAATCTTAAAACAAAAACCCTGGCAGCACTGAAGGGCACTTGTGCCAAGTGTATGCATTATTCAGCACAAGAGGTTATTAATTTCTAGTAATTGGTGATTTAGTTGCATGTACACACCCAAATCTTTCCAAAGGCCTTTGGGAAATTAACACAGCTTTCCACAGATGTTAACTGGAATAATAAGTATTGAAAAAAAAGTAGACTGTTTTCTGCATGACATCTACATGGATAGTTTAAAAAGTCTTCTGTCTCTACATAATGCATGTGTAAGATATAGGACTCTTCTGCACACAACTTCTCAACTGCTTGTCTTCAGTAAACAAACTTCCCCCTTTAAAGATATATTTCATTTTTATTAGAAAGGCAGGTTTACAGAGAGGGAAGGATGACCGACCAAAATGGAGCAGATTGCATCTTTCTATTTCACTTCCTGAATGGCGGCAAGGACTGGAGCTGAGCTGATCCAGAGCCAGGAGCTTCTTTCAGGTCTCCCAGGTGGGTGCAGGGTCCCAAGGCTTTGCTTCCCCAGGTCACAAACAGGCAGCAGAAGTGAAGTAGCTGGAACTCAAACCTCCATCCACTGCTATGTCTGCTGCATGTACAAAAGAGTGTGAATTAGATCAAACTGAAGTCTCGAGCTAGGGAGCCAATCCAGGCCTGACACTTGGGTGACGGGGACCCAACTGCTTGAGACGATTGCTGCCTTTCAGGATGCACACTGGAATCGAGTAGAGCTGGAGTGGAACCCATGCACTTGCAAGTGGAGTCTTAATCGCCACACCAATCACCCAGTGTCCTCCTGCATTTTTTTTAATGTTTAATCTTTTTTTAAAATTGATTACTTTGTATTATAAGACATAGTTCTATAGGTATTGGGATTCCCCCCACTCCTCCCCCAACCTTCCCCCCATGGTGGACTCCTCCACTTTGTTGTGTAACCACAGTTCAAGTTCAGTTGAGACTCCTTCATTGAAAGCATATACCAAGCATAGAGTCCAGCATCTTATTGTCCAGATAAGTTCAACGGTTTCTTGGGGAGACCTTCTCTGGTCTGAAGGTAGGGCCAAAAGAGTAAAATCCCGATCAATTAAAAGCCCCAGCAGCAACAATATATATTGTTATGGAATTAATTGACATAGTGTTGAGTAAACAATATGTTAAAATTACATGTAAATTCTTTTTTTTTTTTTTTAAAGATTTATTTTTATTATTTTTTCATTGGAAAGGCGGATATACAGAGAGGAGAGACAGAGAGGAAGATCTTCCGTCCGATGATTCACTCCCCAAGTGAGCGCAACGGGCCGATACTATGCCGATCCGAAGCCAGGAGCCTCTTCCGGGTCTCCCACGCGGGTGCAGGTTCCCAAAGCTTTGGGCCGTCCTCGACTGCTTTCCCAGGCCACAGGCAGGGAGCTGGAAGGGAAGCGGGGCTGCCGGGATTAGAACCGGCGGCCATATGGGATCCCGGGCGTGCAAGG